ATAAAAATGTCTAAAATGACATTTGCATTCTCCGCAAGGCATGCATTCCGTTTATATATCATTCCAAAATGGGGCACAGATTTGTCTGAAATCTGCATACGCTATTTTTTCAAATTACAATAATGCGATTGGCTTCATTTGGTCATAATGTGTTGCATGAACTCAGCCACTGTGGTTAAATTATTGATCTTGGCTTAGCATATTATGTAAATCCAATTGTGGCTCATTCAAGCACATCATGATGTAGCACAACATGTGAATCAAGTCTTCCAATAAAGGGAATGGCCAGTCTCTCCAGCTTTCAGGTAGAAAGAAGCCCAAGTCCATCCAGAGCCAGGCTTAAGTGACAGAGTAATTGCAAAGAACAATAGTGAAATCTTTCTTGAAAGCTCAGATGATTCGATAAGGATTCTGGCTAGCACAATCCACGTATCTGGATAAACCAGATTGGAGAAGCCTGGCTTAATAGACCAACAGCTACCTGCTTCATCATGTTACCAGAAGTTCACTCACATGCAAGACCTAACCTGCTGACAAAGGCATTTTATCCACCTGTATGCCCAAAGAGCATTTGTGCACTCAGTTTACTAGATTCCTGCCAGCCACAGACTACCATTGGAGGTTGAAGCATTCTGTGTACAATTACAACTGAAAGGAAATACAGCATAGGGATAGGCTAAGTCTAGCACTTCGCTGGTAGCATCCTACCAGGAGACGGCTCCAAGAGCTTATGTTATGTGCACAAATGCCTGGAAAGAAGCAGATGGAAATGACCTCAGATTAGCAATGCCTTAGATCAGTGTTTCTCAACCTTGGCAACTTTAAGATGTGTGGACTTCAACTCCCAGAATCCCCCAGCCAGCAATGTTGCCAAGGTTGAGAAACACTGCCTTAGACAAAGAGCAGGCAGAGGGATGCAGAGCAAGTTTCTATCTCAACCTACTTCCCCTTTGTGGTCAGCAGACCATGAGATGCTGAAGAGTCCGTGCCATTGGATTTGAAACTCCAGCAACTACCACCTCAACTCCATCCTATGGGGATGGCTAAATCTTCCCAAGGGTTGCACAGCTGGAGGTTTGATAAGACAAGAAAACTCTGAGACCCCTCAATTTGTGGTCTAGTGGTATGCTACCTTTCTCTCTGAGGCCTGACGTTGTACTTCATCTATTGAAATGTTTGAACTGTGCTTCTACTATGCCCAGCTTGTGTATTTGGAATATTTGTTTTAGCAGAACAGCAATAACATTCCAATTCCAAACTTCTTTCCAAGTATCAAAGAGGGATAAATGCATAAATGCAGTTAAGAACTGCATTATGATGGCCCTTCTAAAATTTAATGATTCAAGGACATCTGTAATCTGTTGAAATCTTTAGGCAAAGGTAGCGAACTGTTTCCTGGCCCAGACTGTAGACCTAGTCCCACCTCCCGACAACATTCAGTACTTCCTGTGTCCTGAAAGGGCAGCATCCCCTGTATTTTCCTGCATGAAGGGCTTTCTCCTTTTGGAAAGTTTATCATGCTTCAGCTGAGATGCCTGCAACATGACTCTCACCTATGGTGAAAGATAGAGCCTGGAGAGAGGGAATAGGCCAATTGTCCAACCGTGCTTAAACAAGGCTAACAGATTCACAGATATTCCTCATCTTAGAGAGTGAGCCGATAGGGAGAAGCAGAGGGTTCCTGCACTTTTCATTAAAATAAAAACCTGAGAACTTTTGCAGGTGTCATACTGCTTTTCTCATTTTTGTACAAGCTTTACTAGTGACACAGGAAGATATTCTCCCATTCCAATATATTCTAATACCTCAGTGCAATGTATTCTTTCTAATACCTCAGTATGAGAACTAGTTTGGTGTAGTGGTGAAGGCATCAGGCTAGAAACCAGGGAGACTGGGAATTCTAGTCCCGCCTTGGGCACGAAGCCAGCTGGGTGACCTTGGGCCAGTCTCTCTCTCTCTCTCTCTCTCTCTCTCTCTCTCTCAGCCCTGGGAAGCAGGCAAGGGCAAGCTACTTCTGAAATCTTACCAGGAAAACTGCAGGGACTTGTCCAGGCGGTCACCAGGAGTCAAAAACTAACTCAGAGGCACCAAAAAAACCCCCCAAAAAACAAAAACAAAAAACCTCAGTGTATGCATCCACCTTCAAAGCACCCAGATTACTTTCAAGGTCTGTCTTTCTCCTCATTTTCCATTGCCAGGCATATTGTAACTTTAATTAAGACCTAAGGGTTCATCACCTTTATGTCTGACAGACGTCCTGTGTTTCTGAAAGATGCTTAAGTGGCTGGAAATCAATCTGTAGCTGTGTCTAAATGCAATGCTAGTGCAGCTTTACTGCATTAATCCAACGATGAGGTTAGTTACTATGCTAGAATGAAGGGGAAATTATATGTCAGGTAAAATACATAGATTCAAGGAACATCCCAGGACAAAGGTTGCCCTTAAACTGACTGATAAAGGGAGTTAATGATTAGCAACATCACTTGCAGAAACACTGGAACCGCAGGTCAAGGGCTAGGTCTAGGGCTCTGGAATTTAACACACTTCGACTGTATTTGCCTAGTATCTTATTTGAGCTATGGGTCCCACAGATTTCTTTTTTTAAGCACTGGTTCTCAGCAGGGTTCTTCTAAGAATCTGACAAATTCAGGGAAGAATAGTGGATAGTGAATGTTTCTGTGAGCCCCAGACTTCCTGTTCACTGCATCCTATGTTAAAACACTTTTTTCCAGTTGAAGTCAATGGTGCAGTCAATGTGAATATGTAGGGAACCCCAAATTATTAAAATCACTGTTGAAATTTTATCTAAATAGCTGTACAGGTAGTCCTCGCTTAACAACTGCTCAGTTTAGCAACCATTTGAAGTTAGGACACTGCTGAAAAAGTAACTTTATGACCGGTCCTCACACCGTTGCAGTGTCCCCGCAGTCATGTGATTGAGATTCGGGCACTTTGCAACTGGCGGGTGTTTACGACCTTCACAGTGTCCTGCAGTCACATGATTATCATCTGCACACTTCACAGCCAGCTTCCGACGAGCAGAGTCAATGAAGAAGCCGGCAGTAAAATCGCAAGTCATGGTCACATGATGCCTCACTTAATGACTGCATCACTTAGTGAAGGAGTTGCCGGTCCCAATTGTGGTTGTTAAGCAAGGACTACCTGTACTGGCTTGAATTTAAAATATTGATCCAGCTAATATTGTTCCATATTTTGGATGGGATCGCCTACATACGTGGATCTGAAGGTAATTGCCCCCATTTTCCCCTCCCCACCAATAAGGCCCTCCTTCTCAGCCCTGAAACAGGTGTGGTAGAACAGAATTTACTCAGAGATAGCATATTCCTTCTATTCCATATGTACCAAACTGATCATAATAGAACAATTGTTAAACTAACAAATCCAGTGAGAATATATGATGACAGAACTGCAACAGGCAATTTTAAAACAAGCTGGGACATGACTATTAATTGCCTGAGCATCTCTCTAGGGCTTCAGCTAAACGCTGTTCATTCTTTTCCAATCCATTAAGATGGAAAAGAACTAATATGTGGGGAGGGAAATAAGGGAAAATGGGGGGGGGGGGCGG